TACTTGCCAGACAAATCTATGCAAATTCTTCCAACATCTCAGACTCATCTCTAAAAACCCCAGGCAGTGTTATCCAAACACCATGTTCCTGCCCTCCCCCCATTCCAGCTCTTTCTTCTGATTGCTTTTTGTTTTGTTTTTATCATGGTACCACCACTGTCTAGCCTAAAAACCCCGGGCATATTTTACTTTTCCATATTACCTGCACCTGACAATGTATCAGTTTTTTTCTAATGTATTGTATCAATTCTTTCATTTTTCTCTGCCTTGCATTCTATCCAAATTCAGGTCTCTGTTCTTCATGCCTACACCATGGTTAGCTACCAACTGTCTCTTCTTACCCTAATGTATATGACATTCACATTTGACTATAGTCTCTTGTCTTCTAAGGATATCATCTCTCTCTCTTGTAAATTATAAGCTGTTTGAGAGTAGAACTAATGTTTTATACATCTTTGAATTTACCAGAGGACCTAATATGTTGTTTTGCATGTAATAATGTATCAACCTAAATTTATAGAAATATCCAGATTTACCTCCGTTTATGACATCAAAAGTCCAAATCATGTAAAGGCCATTCAAAAAGTACTTATTGACCACCTGCTATTTGCCAGGTAGCATATCAATTGATGGAAATATAGTGATGAACAACAATAAGAACATAACACAAGTTCTTATTGTCTAGAGAGAAGGAGAGAATGAAAAGTTATATATATATATATATATATATATATATATATATATATATATATATATATATAAAATTATAAATTAAAGAGCTCCAAAGATACTGAGCAAGATAGTCTTCCAGAGATTAATATGATGATCTATTTTAACTGGATGAGCAGGAATATCTTCTGTAAGGGGGAGACCTTTAAGTTGCGACTAAAGAAAGAGAAGACTTGTGAAAATTCACAGGTTGTATATTTCAGCAGAGGAAACAATTTGAGCAAAGACCCCATGGGAAAAAATCCAGTGCACAGAGGGAAATTAAGGAAGGTCAATGTGGCTAAAGCAAAGTGATCTGAAGGTTATGGCCAGTGGAGAACTTGCAAGGAAGTCCTTGTAGACCACCTGAAGTCTGCACTGAAGAGCAATGGGAAACACTGCTTATAGGACTGAAGCAAGAGAGTGGCATGTGTGCTTTGATTTAGAATTGTAAGAGTTCACTTTAACATGTATGTAGAAATTTGATGGTGTGAAGAAGGAGTAAATAGGGAGGCCAGGTAGCAGATTTGAAAAAGGTTGGAGCAGAGTAGAAGAAGATAAACAGATAAACTTGAGGTATATTCCAAAGGTAAAATTGTTATAACAATGATGAATGGATTGTATGTAGGAAATAGAGAGGGAGAAATCATGAATAATTTTCCAAATTTCTGGACCAAACAACTAACTGGGCAGATGGATTGTTATTTTCTCAAAAGAAAGGCATTGGGTGGAGGACTAGTTTAGATGTGGGATGAGAGAATCAGAACTCAGTTTTTTAGGTATGTCATGTGCACAATGCCCTCTAGAGATGACAGGAAGGCAGTAAAACATATGACCCCGGAGCTCAGAAGAGAGGGCCAGACTGGAGACATGGACTGAGGACTCGTTTGGGATTTAATGATATTATTTGGCTGGTATTTAAAGACATAAGACATAAAGACATTTAGGTTTAGAGCTCCTAACGAGAGATATGGAAAGAGAAGAAAAAAGGATCCAGACAGAGCCCTGGGACTCTCGAGCCCTCTGGTGAAGGGAAAGAGGCCAGCAAAGAGACTCAGAATGGCTAGATAGGAAGGTGGTGTAGGGAATAAAATAATGCTATCACAAAAAGAGGCTTTCAGGAAGGAGAAATGTTCACTCTTGATAGCAACCGAGAAGTTGGGTGAGCCCTATTAGGATCCTCTCTCCTGGGAGGGCATCTTATCAAGAATAGAGAGCTTTTACTGTTGAATCCCTAAAGTAGTTCCTGGCACACAGTGGGTACTTGATACATATTAATCAAATGACACATAATAATTGAATCATTGGATATTTATGTTCAGTTGAGGGTTACAGATAAGCATTGGTAGTTTTTTAAAGCCTTCCTTTTCTCCTCCCTCCACCTTCCCCTTTCCTATCAGATTCTCACACTTGCCTACAAAAGCATTGATTAAAGAGAGAGCAGTAGCTACAGGCTTTGTCAAAGCTACATTAAACACCCTTTATTTCTGCTGACTTAGGAAAAGTGAACTGTTCTCAAAGACTTGGAGGAAGGAAACTTGGGCTAACACAAGGCAGTTGGTTCTTGAAAAGTGGCGAAATCATAACTATAACCACAATCATAGAAATAAGGTCCTGCCCCATGAATGCTCTCTGGGCTGCTCCTCACCTTAATTAGGCTGTGAACAGTATTGTGTTGAGTGGATTTTATCACATAAGAAGGGAGAGAAATAAAAAGATATGGGTTCAGATCTGTAGCTCTGACATTACCCAAGTCTGGAGAGTCTGCAAGTGCCTGTGAGACAACTACTTCCTGAGCCCCAAATGGAAATGTGGCTGCAAAACAAAAGGGATTGCTTATTTATAATGAGGCCAATGTGCGCTAGTTGCAGAGCTGGGCTGAAGTCAGCATGTGGATCTACTCAGAAAGAAAGAAGCTTGGAGAGGAAAAGCAGAGCAAAAGGAGCCTTCTCTGTGGCCCTATGAGCTACTTCTCTAGAAGCTGTCTCATTTCATTTTTGCACCATTCTTTGCCCTTTTCTTGGTTGCAAATAATAGGAGAGATTACTATTGCTCTTCTTTTGTCTGTTGACAAAAGAGTAAAAAGTGGTTGGGTTTGGCTAGAATATCCTACTCTTCCAGAAATATCTCAAACTCCAAATCTAATCCTTAAATGGCTCATGTGTGTGCCCATTCCTGTGCATACACACATGCATAACCTTGTTCCTCCTGTGTATTTTTTCTCTCTCTATGAATTAACATCATATATTCAAATCCCAAACTCAGGACTTGGGCATCATCCTGATTCCTTCATCTCAGCTCTATCTTTGTATTTTTACCAATATTGTCACCAAGTTCTATTGGGTTCTGCCTCTCATATCACTTGAGTCTATTATTTCCTCTGCTCCTCCTTTGCTACTTCCTAGTGCAGGCCATCAATCTCGTTACTCATCATTTACTACAGGAGCCTCCACTATCAGGTTTCCTGTATCCCATCTTTTCACATTTCTGAAACACATGGCTGACCAAGACAAACCTTTTCACAGCTTCATCTCAGCCCGAGCAGAGGCTTGCATGTTCTCACCTGGCTTAGGAGGTTCACGATGTGTCTCTGTTTCTCTAGTCAGCTTCCTATTATACCAGCCTGCGCGTGGACCCCTAAATGTGCCACCAAGACCCCCTCTTCCAGTTTCTCTACCTGGCCCTGCAGGAGCCCACCCTTCTTCCTCCTCTCAAACTAACTCAACCCACTATGTCCTTCCAATCTCTCTCAAAGTGTCCCTTAAGCATTCAGAATTTTCTCTAGTAAGTGTAAGTTTGTCCATCTACCAGTGGACTACACATTTTCCTTGAAGGCTTACCCTGCCTTCCTCACCATGGTATTGTGGGTCTTGCAACTTGCTGGCTCAATGAATGCGCTGATTAATTGAACAAGTATTTTAGTGACGGATCTGCCATTACAATGTAAGATGTGACATTTCTGCGTGCATGGTTTTCGTGTGCACCCGTGCGCCTGCACACACACACTTCACACACCTCAAGAAGCCCTTTTACTTTTTTCATTTTTGTGGGGTTTTTGTGTGTTTGTTGTTTTTTTTTTCACAGCAGTAATTAATAACTGGCTTTGTCTCCAAATATCAGCCCATCACCTATGACAGTCTCTCTGGTTGCTCAAGAAAAAAGCCTGAGGCACATCGGGATTTGCATTAGGACAGTCTAACCGCTTCGGGTGTGCTGTGCCCTGGTCCCCAGCGCATCTTCGGAGGCTGATGCTGTCTGTGTCTTGACCTCACAATGGCTATCTGGCGGTGAGTGGGTGCGTGGGAAGGGGGAGAGGTAAGAACTGGACTCTTGGTTCAAGTGAGGCAAGCCACAGTGCTTGCTTAGCCCAGCCTCGCTGTTGAACAGTTGAGGGCCCCAACCTCCTGCCCTTCAGCCTGAGAGGCTGGCTGCTCATCTGTGTCCGCAGGCAGCCCAGGGCTTAGGGGAAGTGTGGCGGGGGAGGTCCTGGGCCCCAAAGCTTGCGTGCAGGGCTTTGAGTCCTGAAGTGAGTAACCCTAACGGTCTTTGTGACCAAAGGACCTCTGGCGCCTTTAGGAGTTCCTTTTGTTTGTTTTCCATCGTGGCCCTCTGCTTATTCCTAAACTGCAAAAATCAGGTATAGCGCTGATTATCAATGCAAGATCTAGAGGGTCCCCCTGCCCCCGCCCCAGCAGCCGGCGCCCAGGTTTGTGATGGCCCTTGGGCCACACCGGGGCGGGCTGCGGAAGCCCCGCGTTCTCGGTGGGTGCACGTGGGGCGGGTTAGGGCCACACCGCTCCGCGGCCAGGCCCCAACCACAGCCAAAAGGGGAAGCCCATGCTCCCTCCAGCTCCACTCTTCAAAGCCCCAGAGCCCAGTCCTCCTGCTCTCGGAGGAGGCTGGCAGGTCCCCTAGCGCCCCCTACAGTCCCTCGTGGGGGAGGGGAGACGCACCCAGCCAGGCGCCTCAGCACCACGCCCGGGACCCCACCCAGCGGCCCGCGCCCCGGATCCCAGGGCGCCCGCACCCCCCCTCCCGCGGCAGAAACGGGCGTGGGGTCCTGAGGGCGGGCGGGCGCTGCATCCCAGGCGGCGGTGGCTCCGCCCGGGGCCGACTTCCCCTCCCTCTTTCTGTGCGTCCCTCCCTTCTTCCCTCCCTCCCTCCCTCCCGCCTGCTGGCACCGGACACGCCGAACCTCTTCTCTGGGGGCCCCCTTCCCCTCGGCGGCGCCTCATCCCCTACGACGCCCGGGACCGTGCCCTTCGGCGGTGGATGTCCCCCTCCGGGAGCGCATGGCCCAGGACGCGAGACGAGGGCCGGGCCCCCGGGGCGCCGCCGTCCGGGAGGCGGTGATGCTGCTGCTGTGCCTGGGGGTCCCGGCCGGGCGCCCCTACAACGTGGACACGGGGAGCGCGCTGCTCTACCAGGGCCCCCGCGACACGCTTTTCGGCTACTCGGTGGTGCTGCACAGCCACGGGCCCGAGCGCTGGTGAGGACGGGGTCCGGGCGCACCGGGCATCTCCGAGCCCGAGGGTCCCTGGGGAGGGTGCCTGGGGACTGCCCGCCGGGGGTTCCAACTTTCCCCCCTCGGGAGGCGGCAGAGGGGGGTGGCTGGCTCCTTGGGGAGCTGCCCGGGAGACTAACTTATCTCGGGGTGGCAGCGCCCGGGGTGCGTCCTGGCGCGGGCCCTGGAGCTGCGGGTTCGGGGGGCCGGGGGCGCGCGGGGGGCGGGCGGAGGAGGGCGGCGGGCCGGCTGCCAGCTGCTCCCGGGGGGTTGGGGGGGGGGTAGATCCGAGTCCGCGCAGCTCAGCCCCGGCCCCGCGCACGTGTCTCCGTCTCCGCAGGCTCGTCGTGGGGGCGCCCACCGCCGACTGGCTGGCCAACGCTTCCGTGGTCCACCCCGGGGCCGTGTACAGATGCCAGATCGGGAAGAACCCGAACCGGACTTGTCAGCAGCTCCAGCTGGGTGAGTAGGACCTGGGCCCAGGAGTGAGTACACATACACACCCTTCCCCCCAGCTCGGGGGCTCCGGGGTCACACACACAAGTGCAGGAAGAACGAAAGCATGGTGCCTCCTGCTTCTGGGGGAAAGCTAACGGTTTTCACTCAACTCCCCACACCGCCTTTGCTCCTTCACACTTCCTTCTGTCACCATCCTCCCGCCTGTGCCAAGCCCTGGAGCGATGTTTGCAGGACTCTGACATAACTGACTAAACTACATAGAGGGGCATTTTTATGGTACCTTCCCCCTCCCCCATCCTTTTGTCAAACACGTTTTAAGGTCTCAGCGCATGAAGAGCAGGATGCAGCTAAGCCGAGACTAAAGAGCTGTATTTCCATCATTGACCCACCAGCCTCGTTAAGAGACAAGGGGGCTGGGGGCAGATCAGGAAGAGCTGTTGGAATTGATCCCACATCCTGTCAAGCAGCCTGAGGGCTCTCTAAGACAGAAAACGGTGTAGCTTTACTTAGCATATGAAAAAAAAAAATGCCAAAGAAGGGCACAGGAAAAACTGGCTTCTTCATCATTCATACAATTAAATCAGCCGGAACATATAACTGTTAGTTTTTATCGCCCCCAAAAACGCTCATATTCAATAGCTACTTCTATGGGAAGTCATTTCTTAAGGTCTCTTCTTAGATTTATGATGACTTGGAATATGCGTTCTGAAGGGGGAGGGGAGAAAGTTCACGTTTCAAAGCACCACAAAGCAAGTTTGCTTTGCACAGATACATGGGGTGGGGTGTGAAAGAGGAACTAATACTAATTCAGAGTGATCTTGCTCCAAACACTGTTAGGCACTAGCTATTTAGGTTGCTTAATGTTTTCCTCTCAGCACCACTGGCTCATATGGGCATTGTTCCTACTTACCACACAGAGGACTCTGTGAAGGGGGGGGGGGGGGGGGGCAGTTGCAAGTCCTTCTAAAGGCTACTCAGCTCCTGAGAGGGAAGATGGGACCTCAAGTCAAAGTCAGGGCTGCTTGGGGCCAAAGTCCAAACCCTGTTCTTTTATGTCCTCATCTTCAGTGCAAATTAAATTAAATTAAATGAATAGTCCAACATGTTGCCTGCTGAGCTGATGAGTCATCTGTAAATGGTGAATAAAAGGTTATGATTGGTACCGTTTTCATATTGAGACTTTGAGATAAGCTAGCTATTGCACCTTCAACCCCTTTTTATAGTAGTTTTTGCTTTTTCTCAAACTACCCTGTTTCCCCAAAAATAAGACAGTGTCTTATATTAATTTTTGCTCCCAAAGATGTGCTAGGTCTTATTTTCAGGGGATGTCTTATTTTTCCATGAAGAAGAATACGGTACACATTTATTGTTAAATGAAAATAAAGGAAATTTATTACCTATATACGGTACGGTAGTACGGTAGTTGTCAACACAAACCAGACAAACTGTGAATCCTACAGTATTAAGAATTTACTCATTTATTCAATGACAATCATGTCATCATCTTCTGGAACATCATCATAACAATCCAATTCCTGAATTTCCTGGTGAATTTCTTGTGACTCCATTTCTTTCAGAATCAGTGGACCAAATCTCTCATGTTTAGCAATAGCATTCTGAGACAGAGCCTGGGGGGGGGGGGGGGGGCATATTTTCGGGGAATGCCTTATATTTCACTCAGAGGGAAACCTGTAAGTAGGTCTTATTTTCAGAGGATGTCTTATTTTCAGGGAAACACGGTAGGAAGCTGGTTTTCTTCATTTAGAATGAATTCAAATAGAGTATGCATATAACGGGATTTTTGTTTTTAACTCAGAGAGCATCCATAAAGTCTCGGAGTTGTCAGTAGCATGTAGAATAAGCCCCAGTCACTCATGAAGCTTCTTCCACCCCCCAAAGCAGACTATAAAAGCATAACACTATTTGGAATAATTCTGTAAAACATCATTTTCATTGCATGAGGGGATTGTGGGATAAAGAATTGATGAGTGGAGCAGGCAACCTTGACCTGCCAGAGGATCTTGACAAGACTTCAAGAAGTAGAAATGTCATTTCTGTTATCCTGTCATAGTTTTCTGATCCATGACATTATAACTGCTGGTTCCTAGCACTCAATTCCTATCTGGAAGGTCATGGAATCTATTTCTATGTATTTTAAATTGGAAGATGTCAGAGCATTATATACAATTTCAGATAATAGCACCTGTTAAAATTGAAGGAAAACCTAAATTCTTTGGGCATTTGGAACATGGAGATCAACTGCAGAGATATCCTTAGAGAAATTAGGTAAATACATAACAAACACAAATTAAATGAAGATATACTGATAGATGAATGAATAGAAGCAAAGCGAAAGTTTGTTATCAACCTGACTGGTAAATAAGAGAAGTAATTAGAAATGACAAGCCAAAGGGATATTTTTAACTTTTAAATTTTGGGTTAATTAAAGGCAAAAAGGAAGACAAGATTTCTATTCAATCACTGATTGCAACTCTAATGGCTGTAGTACTAGCTTTTCATATTAACAAAAGAATTGACTAAAATCATTTTTCATGCAATGTTTTAAACAGTGCATCTTCTCTTCCTTTTATAAAGAAACTAGAGGATCAGTGCACAACATTTATGCACTGGGTCAGGGTCTGGGGGTCCCTTAGCCTGGCCTGCACCCTCTCACGGTCCAGAAGCCCTTGGAGGCTGTCTGACTGAAGGCTTAGGGGAGCTGGCCTAAGCGCAGTCAGAGATCCTTAGGGCTTCCTTGTAGGCAGAAGTGGCTCCCCGCTACCACCACTGTGCTCCCCAGCCATGAGCCCTGCTTCTAGCTGAACAGAGTTCCCCCTGTGAGAGTGCACTGACCCCCCAGGGAGCAGCTCTTGCATTGAGCATCTGCCCCCTGGTGGTCAGTGAGCATCATAGCGACCAGTTGTTCTGCCGTTTGGTTGATTTGCATATTAGCTTTTTATTATATAGGATTATGTATCTCCCCTTTACTCTCTTCTTAGGTAAAAGGGGAATAAATGGTGATGAAAGGAGACTTGGTGATGGATGGGGTGGTGAATACACAATACAATGTACAGATGATGTATTATGGAATTGTACAACTGTAACCTACATAATTTTATTAACCAATGTCACACCAATAAGTTCAATAATTTTTTTAAAGTTAAGTGTATTAATTAAAAGGTAACAGTTGAAATGAAATGCAATGAAAAATATTTTCTTATTGGGTTGGCTGAACAAAAAAATCTTATAATAACTAAATATTGAGCTATGATTGCCATGTCAATAGGTATTTTCTTTCATTTAAAATAGCTTAACTTGAAAAGCCATAGATGAAATTGAAAGATCTCTTACACTGGTGCCTATCTCCGTCACAATTCAAAATCCTAAACACACTGGCTAGCCTTTAGGTCTCAGAATTTCAGGTCAAAGTTTAATTCAAATAGACAATTCCCCATAAAAGAAGTTCAATATCCACCCCCCCCCCCATGCTTCCCCTATCTTTGTGGATAATGTTGCTGTATTTGTGATATATTTACTATAGCTATAGTCTAAAGTGAGCAGCAAATGCCCTTTTATCTAGAATGTTCAGGGTGTGAGATGTTGAGAGTAAGATACCCTTTCAGGGGCATGAATTGGCTGTGGAAGAGGCACATTCATCCTGCATGCAGACAGACTCGCTCACCTCCCTGCCTACCTGAGAAGCGGCTCTCCTCTTACTCCCGTGGTGCTTCCCTGGATGAACCAAAAGGAAGTTAGTCTTCCATATGGAGGGCCTGAGCTCAGTCTTGTTCTCAGAGACGTCATATCTGAGGAGGCTCTAGTGATTGCCGCTCATCCAGTTGCTTCTCATTTTTTTTGTTTGTTTTGTTTATATGTTTGGTTTTTTAGAGGGAGAGGGATAGGGAGAAACATAGATGAGAAGGAAACATCTATCAGCTGCTTCCTGCACACCCTCTATTGGGGGGATCAAACCAGCAACCCAGGCATTTTCCCTGACTGAGAATCGAACCTGTAACCTCTTGTGTCATGGGTTGATGTTCAACCACTGAGCCACACTGGTCAGGCTGTTTTTCCACTCACAGTTTGCATCCTTACTGAAGCTTTTTAAAAAGAAAGTTTGATAGAAGATGGTTGTTATAATAAGGCATCACAAATCACAACTGTCTTACTATAGTTATACTCCATTTATGGATTACAATATTCAAAATATTAGAACATAATAAGATGCATAAATGATTATACAATCATACTTTAAAATTTTTATTTAATTGATTATTCAAAAAAGATTTCAGATCTTTCATTACTTTGGAGTTTGCCCTAATAGCATTACACACACACACACACACACACGCACGCACGCACAATTAGTCTAAAGTTACATAGGTACACTGCCCAATAGAATAGTCAGTGTCCACCTGTGGCTATTGAGCACAAGAAATTTGGCTAGTTTATAGTGAGAGGTGCTATACTCTAAATTGCATGCTCAAAGACAGTACAAAAATAAAGTACAATATTCCATTATTCTATTTTATAAATTTTTTTTTATCGATTTCAGAGAGGAAGGAAAAGAGAGAGAGAGACAGAAACATCAGTGATGAGCGGGAATCAATGTTCGGCTGCCTCCTACACACCCGCACTGGGGATCTAGCCCACAACTGAGACTTATGCTCTGACTGGGAATCGAACCATGACCTGGTTCATAGGTCGATGCTCAACCACTGAGCCATGCTGGCTGGGCTCCATTATTTTATTTATTTATTTTTTAGATATTGATTACATGTTGAAATAGTGAAAAATTAATAGTGATTACATGTTTGATATCTTGGATGTACTGAGTTGCATAAATAGATAATACTTTCACTTTTCTTTTCCAGACCAAGCATTGTACAAACACTAGATCTTTTTCTAGTGCCTCTCTTTTTCTTGCTACAAAGAATGGTCCATCACAAGTCAGTCATCATTATTCCTCTTCAGATTTCTTTCTAAAAATTATATTCCCTTCG